TCAAAATGTTCACATAGTTAATACCAAAGTTCTAGTGGCTGACCTAATGTATATGTTTGACCGCCTCCGTTGATAAAAAAACGCCCGCCTCGGAAAAGATCTGTGTAGTAGTGATATGTTCCATTGTCATAAGTGAGTGTGTAGTGATATTTAAGGATCTCAGATAGAGAAGCAAACGAAACAAAAGTTGTAGATCTCGAAAACTTATGCAACTTTGTAGTTGACAACATTTTCATTTGAAATCATCTATCTAAAAAAATTATGTTTGATTTCTCAAATTTAAAATTTGAATTTTTCAAACAACCTCGGATGGAGAAACGCCCAAAACAAAAGTTGTAGATCTTGAAAAGTTATGCAACTTTTTAGTCGACAACCTTTTCATTTGAAGTCACCTATGTAAGGAAAATTACGATTGAATTCTCTCATATTTGAAATTCAAATTCTTCAAATGACCTTGGATGGAGAAATCACAAAAACCAAAGTTGTAGATCTCGAAAAGTTATAAAACTTTGTAGTTGACAGCCTTTTCATTTAAATTTTGGATCCCAAATATTCATTTCAAAACCAGAGTGACATAAAATGGAGGAGAACAAATATCCCAAATGGACACAAACGTCTTATAGGTGGAGTGGTTAGGTGATGAACACGCGAAGCAGGATGTCCAGGTTCGAGTGCTGGTGGCCATGAAGCACACGTTTTTCACACGAAAAATTGCGTGACTTGTGACTTGGGACACGCGATCGTGTGGCTATCAGTGGGGTCCCTCCTAGTACTAAATTTTTTTCCCTATTTTTAGCCCATTTTTGGATTTTTTGGAAGCCACATCAGTGTCGATTTTTTAGAACCGGCAGTGATGAGGGGGGTGTATGGTTGTGCCGGTTCAAAAACCGACATTGATGGCCTTTTTTAACCGGAAGTGAGTTGGAGATCTGTAGTAGTGTACCAAATGAATCCATATGTTGTATACTCACAAGTGAGTGTATAGTGTAGTGGTAGTGCTGGGCAATTTGGTTGAATAGAAATTATAAGGTGTTTTACTAGAAAAATGCTAACTCCTTCAGGCTTCATGCACATAATTTTTAGAGGGACTTGCGGAATTAGACAATGGTCCCAGTTATCTAAAGAGAAAGAGAGTGTGACTCTAAAGAAATGATGTAAGCAGCTAGAAGTGATAATGTTAGAAGTTTTTGGAAGATTGGGCTGGAAGAAACAAAGAAGTTTGGAGAGCTAAGTGTCTTGGTTTTATTTTTTGTTAGGACTTGGCTAGTCACCTTGTTTGTTGTCTTGTGTCTTGTAAGATTGGGCCCTGCGTATCAGAGGGCGGTCGTTGGACCTGTGTCTGTATTGAGCGGTTATACCCATTCACGTGGGAGGGTGGAATACTTTTGTTGTTCCTTAATTAAAAAAAAGCTGCCTTGTTGGCCTCTGCTGAGCATCTTAATCTGTACTTCTGATAGGCTATGTTTTGGTTCTGTACTCAAGACTTTTGATTGAAGCTTATCATCTTCGCCCATTACCAAATCAAGGCTGGCCTTTATTTCCTCCACCTTCCTTTTGAGGTCCTTCGACTCCTTCACTAATTCTTCCTTCACCAACACTCCCAATTGTACCTTGAGCCTAAGAGCATCTCCAAGAGTTTCCATTAATTTCTTCCCAAAACCATGATGTTTTCCAACTCACCAAAAACTATTGACAGGAATAAATAAGACTGTCTCCAAGAGTTTCCAATAATTCACTCCTAAAAGCATATTCCAAAAGCATATTTCAATCATTAAATGGCATTTCATAAATATGATCATCTTCTTCGTGAGAATACGGCGCCACGACGAGCGCGCCGGTGAGCAGGATCGCAGCGGCCCATAGCAGTTGAAAGGGACCCATATGGCACCGCCACCCGTGTCCGCCGCCGCCGCGTGGTGGAACAGGTCGAGCTCAAGCGACAGTGGGAGCGGCATGGCATAGTATGAGAGGGAGGCGATGACGATGGTGAGGAAGGCAACATGCGTGCTGGCGGTGTGGGTGCTCGTCGCTACGGATTTGTCCGACATGGGCTTAGTGCGCGCGACAGTGGGCAGCAAGCCACAATGGGTGTTCGACTACTTCGCATTCTCCCTATAGTGGCTCAGCGGCGGCGGCCGCCGCCGGGAGCTTCGGCTCAGAAGGCAGTTGGCGGAGGCTGAATCGGTGGAGATCCCCCTCGGGATGCCATTGAGGGAGTTGGAGATGGCACTGTTGTGAGAGTCGATGAACCAGTTCTCGAACTTTGGAGAGTCATGGAGCAGGGAGCCGAGCCATGATACGCAGACGTCAAGTGCGCAGATAAATCCGCACGGTTGGGGGATTTTTCCCAAGTTCCAAAAGATTGGTAGGTGAGATTGAGAGTTGTTTGGAGTGGTTTTTTCAATCTTGCAAAAAATAAGGGTTGGGAGATTGGTGAGATTGAGAGTTGTTTGGAGTGGTTTTTTCAATCTTGCAAAAAATAAGGGTTGGGAGATTGTTTTGGGAACTCTCGGAGATGGTCTAAGGTAGCGTTTGGTTGGGAGACAAGGTGGAGTAGGATGGTCTAGTCTTTGTTTTCTAGGGACGTGACAACTATACTTTTTGTTTGGTTGAGGAGAAATGGAACCACCCTATTTTTGTTTGGTTCATGAGACATCAAAAGCGGGATTAGCTACATGACATGTAGGACCCACATGGCAATCACTTAATTTTTTTTCCTTTCTTCACCCTTTTCCTTCCTCCTATCCTACAGATGCAAGAAGAAGCGTTGTCATCATCCTCGTGGTCGGCGGGCAGGGATGCGACCGGAGCCCACGATGACAGGGCTGGCGGCGGCACCCGCCCACGCACTCACCGGCTAGGCGGCAACGCACACATGTGAGGCCATGGCGCCCGCCAGCACGTTGTCCCGCGACGGTCCCTGTTGATATCGCCTCACCGGATCTCCCACCCGAGGCTCGCTGGACCTCAGCCGCCCATGGACCTCCACCTCGCCAGCCTCCACCGCGGCGACCTCGGCCTCATCTCTTCTCTTCTTCTATGTCACTCTTCTTCCCCGCATCACCGATGGCGCACAGAAGCACGTGTCCCCGGTGGGAAGATCCTGTCCACCGAAATCTGGGGGACGAGGTTGCTCCGGAGCTCACGGGAATATTTCCGTGAGGGATGACCCTGCCCCAAGCTGGCTCTAACCCAAACGCTAAGATGGGTGGGATATATCCCACCTGGGACCATCCCATCTCTCAAACCAAACACTACCTAAGCTTCCACTTCAGACATGCTATATTTTCTCTCTGCAACTAAAAGCTCTGAAGCTTACAATTTTCACTGGTCACCAAGTCATATATCTTCTTCACCATGGCATCCGTCTCCGGTGACTCCACCCACACACCCAGCTCTGCCTTCTTGTTCCCTAACAATTTCAATTCCTAATCCTTCGCCTCTATTTGCTCCTCATTGTGCATGGTACACCAGGGCCTCCATTGTGAATGCCAGAGCCTCCTTCCTCAAGTTCTCTAAGTCCTTCCCTTTTTTTAATTTGCTTCTCTGCTGCTTCTTGGCACATATCAGCAGCATCAATGAACACTAGAGCAGCCTTCCTTGTGCCATCCAATTCCACAACCTTTGCCATAATCTTCCACCCAATTTGGTAATTTCACAACTACACTTAGTAACTGAGACATGCATGTATTTCATACTACATATACTTCTAAATGTATCCCATTCGTTACATTTCAAGATTGAACTAATAAAAACAAAAGGACAAATCTGCAGGTCAGAACTAACTCTGATCTTCACATTGCTGTACACAGGAAAGCCAAAAACAAATACTACATCATGCTAATCACCAACCGTTTTATGTGGAACATGTACAGGAGGTACAAAAATCAGAGAATGTTGAGCAACATACCTCTGCGGAGTCGAGATTCAACAGTAGAAGCAGCCATCCAAACGGGCTTCTTTTGAAGCATATACACACCGGTTGGGCCAGGATGGCAAAGATCCGGCCAACCAAACACGCCCTTAGCTTATCAGCTTGAGCATCCTTGCCATTCCCTGCTTCAGTGCTTCCTCAGCCGCTTCCTTGCTGGCCTGAATTTCCTCCACGTTCCTCTTGAAATCCTCCAATTCCTTCATCGTTTTTGCCTTCTCAGCATCTCTAGTACATTGCCCGTGCTGACGCTATGGTGTCATCTACTGAAATTAACAAAATAACAAATGTACGCACTAAACTCATGCTGGGTGCATGTCTAATATTGACATTGACTCACTTAAGTAGCATTGAACGGTTGAAAATTTACCTGTGGGCATGGCCGTGTCCAAGAATAGTTCCCTCACCTTCTGAATTGATGAAAGCAATTGATTAAAACTGGCAAGCACTTCCTTTCTTTACCCAAATAGTAAACAAGCAGCAGACATCAACTCAACTTCCATCGATTCTTCCTTCTCTACTCTTTCTTCATGAGCACAGTAACTAGTCGGTAAGCCAGCACAAAAACAATCTATTTATGAATTTGACAATTATATGAAGACTGAAACTTCTTGACCAACCTTTAACAAAAATGAAGCCTTCATTAGGTAGAGATCACTGCAGTTCGCCTGATCTTTTGGGTTCAAATTACCTGAACCACAGACAGCACCACTGACATGTATGATAGATATGTTGATGAGAAAAGCTACTGTAAAGACAAATGCACTTTCAATCGTATAGAATATGCAGGCTTCCTGCAAGAGAGTGAATTGTTGGAAGTAAATAGATGTTTAATCATCTAAAATTAGAGCAAGTAAAAATAAGTAAAAATATACATATTCCGCTAGTGAGCACGAGGCTCTGCGCTCGTCCTCGCATCGGCGGCCCCGGTGGCATGCGGCCTCGGTGGCACGTGGCTCCGGTCATAAGGCCCGGCATCCTCCCTCTCGAGCGCTGCCGGATCTCTTCGTCCTCCCTCTCGAGCCGTTGCCAACTGGCGTAGCACCTCGACGGGCCCCAACTCGACGGCATGGCGGCAGCTTGTCATGCGGACTGCGGAGCAGAGGATGGGAGGGCTTGCTCCGAACCCCATGACGCCACTTGCTCTGGACCCCAGATCTGGGTGGCGCAGCCCCTGTTGGGGGCGGTGGCGGCCTTGGGTGCTCGCGCGCCTACTGGTGAGGCACCTGCAGCTTATGGCGGCAGATGGCAGCGAGGTGTCGGCGACGTTGTCCCTTTGGGCGCCGGCGGGTGTGGTGGAGGACGATGGCGGCTTAAGAGTCAACGGCCAGTCCTCGGCAACGAGAAGGCGGATCTAGCGGACGTGGTTCTGTAGGCTGCTGTGACCTAGGGGCGGCGGCAGCCTAGAAGTCCGAAGACCTCCTCCTCGGCGGCGGTGGCAACCCTAAGAGTGGGAGCGGCCTGAATCTCGATGAGGTGGCGGAGGTGGAGGCGGATCCCGTCAGCAGTGGCGGCCCTATCCTCAACGTCAGCGACACTGGACTCCGGGCAGAGGTGACGGCCATGATCCCAATGACATCGGCTGCCCTATGGGCGGCGGAGGCCTTGGATCCGACATAGCGGAAGCGGTTCCTGTTGGCTCGCGTCTGATCAACTATTTCGGTCTAGACGACGATGGATGAAGGTTTGGTAACTGGCAACATGTGGTGTCACCTCACTTGAAGCAGATGAAGATGGCACCAGCGGAGGTTTGTAGCGATGGTGCACTAGGGGCGACGGCAACTTGACGACTTCCACTCACTGAATCTAGCCGTTTCAGGAGAGGATGTTGGGAAGTAGGGATGTGCCGAGGTTGTAGTTTTTTCCTTTTCTAGTTGTGTGTTCTCCTCTTTGCTGAGTTGTGAGTCTATGTGCTCTTATATCCTTTTGCCTGTGTATATCCTTTGTGGATATAGAGGTCGGATTAATGAATCCATTATCTAAAAAAGAGAATTAGAGGTCACCTTAATCCCATGAACCGACCGTGGCACTTTTCTTCATAATACTAATGCCGATTGCAGAAAAAGATTATGACTGCAATTTATGCGCACCAGATAAATGAAAAAAGGTCATGTGTTGAAAACTGAATGCTTGGAAACAAACAGATATACAAGAAGCTTACGGCATCACCATAGCACCAAGTAATGAGACAGCAAGACCTGTAGCTCCATTTCCTTTAAGTTCAGGAACAAAAAGGCCCCTCACAACTTCCGAAGCATTTGTTTTAGAATTCCCAAGTTCAACTAAGAAACAAGTTGCTATTAGGAACACCAGAAATGCAATCAGAAATTCTAGCTTACGGACCTGCACCAAAATATTACAGTATGCAATATGAGCCACTCAAACAAGACATATGTGAGTGCTATGTGTTAACTAATGTCATTGAGTTGATGATCTTGTTATATATACTATATCTGTTAATAAAACTGCTTTAAATAGAATTTTGGTTTGCAATAATGAGGATGTTTTTTATGACATTGAAACTCTTAGCAAAGAGTAACTGATCAAGCATATTTGGAAATGTAATAGGAAATTATCTTACCCCATATTCCTGTAGTAATAAGAGCATCAGAGTGCTGAGTCCAGTTATTATAACACCACACCATACTGGGATTCTGAGCAGCATGTTCAGAGCAAAAGCAGTTCCAATTACTACAAAGAGTAAACAACCACCTTAGTTGATAAGAAATTCCAGGAAAATTCAACATTAAGGCTTCCTTTGGGAGGAAGGGGCAGCTTAGCCCACGGAACAGCAGCCCCTAGGGGAATTTTTGTGGACAGCCGCATCCCCCTCCACTCGAGGGGAGATAAACCCTGTTCCCTGGTGCTGTTTGGAAGCAGACCAGGGGAGATCACCCTGCGTTGCTGCTATTTGAGCCCAGGGAAGGCAAGTACGTTTCTGCTATCTGGTGATAGAGCGCTAATAATGCATCAACATAGAAATACACATAGAAATATGCCAAAATCAAGGAAAAATGAAAAATTCAAAGAACGTAAGAAAGATAAAAAAATCAGTTAATTTAGAAAATAATTGCATGCTCTGTATCATCAGTTTCAACATGGCACTGAACATACAGAACTTGGCTATCAACATACAGAACTCAATACTCCATATAGAACTTGGCTCTGAACGTAGGTTTCAACATGGCGTTCTTCAGTTTTTGTCTAAATAATGATGATGCAGTATTATTACTTCTGAAGCCAACTCAAATAGAGCAACAGACAAACTAACAATTTGATTAAATTCATACATAAGTTATTTTTGCCATCTAATCCAACAAAGCTAATCTATGGCTTTCAAATGGTCATCTCCATCCGCTTGCCAAGTTGAGGTGAGGTTAAATCCCTTGTAGCAACACTTTCCTATCATCAAGAAGACAAAATTTCAGAATCATATGCGAAGAGTGTTTCATATCAGTGCGTTTGTGGAATCAATTAAACATGTATGTTGCAGGAGCTAGTAATTCCTGTGACAAAAACAAAAACACAAGCTGAAAGCTAGGAGCCAGTGACCACTATGTACTTGCTGGTGATAGCACATTAACCAAACCTTGCACCATTAAATTTAATACAAAAGTTATTACCAATTCTACCACTGGGCAGATCAAATCTTTACCATGGAAATACAGATAAGAATATAGATAACTCTATGTTGGTAGCGCATCATCACTACAAGTCAATCCAATGAAATCCAACAAAACATAATTGCACTGCAAGTACACTGCAGTTTCATAACAGATTAAAGCTTGCATCAAGGCCAATGCACAAACAATGCAACTGTGGAAATGTAAGCTCTCAAAGTACTGAAGTTTCAGAAACACTTGAGCTCTCAGGCTACACTGAACCAGGAAATATAGACAGTAGTGCACTGAAACATGGGTTTACCTTTGAAACAGAATCGCACTTCTGCAAGGACATCTGCAATTAATATGAAGCTAGCATCATCTCAGAATACAGGATTAGTTTAGATGATCTAATGCTACAAGAGAAGAACACTAGGACCCCGTTTGGCACGGACGTTTGGAGTCGTTTTCTGCTAAACGGGGTAAAATGAAATGGCTCCCTCGGTGAAGCCCTAAAAACGTGCTGAGACAAAGGATAGATGAGGGCTGAAGAAAAAAAAAATAGTGGCTTCACCTCGTCTACGTGGACGCCAAAAGGACCGAGCCCAATCTGCCCCCGTGGAGAGAGAAAAGCGCGCGGAGGATAGCTCGCGTGGCCGCCGTGGCGCATGTCCGCCGGGGCGCGGCCACCTACGCGCGAGCCGTCTGGGCGCGCGGCCACCGGAGCAGGCAGACTTCGAGGGCGCGGCCGCCAGGGCGTGCGGCCACCGGAGATGCGGCGCGGGCTGGCATGACGGGAGCGGTCATTGGGGAGGGACGCAACGCTGGCCGCGGTGGTCAGGGGAGGGTGTGGCGGGGCGCGCCGACGCGGGCGCGAGGGCCACCAGGGCGCCGCCGGGGCACGCCGGCGTTGGCGCGGGGCCGGCGGGGTGCACGCCGTTTGCCGCAGGGGCACGCCGGCGCCGGCGCAGGGGCTGCCTGGACGCGCGGCACTAGTCGCCCGGGCACGCCGGCACGGGCACGGGCCACCGGGGCGTGCCGGCGCGAGAGCCGCCTGGGATCTGGCCACCGTGGCGAGGACGCGCAAAGATGAAGTCGAAGGGAAGTAGAAGAACGAAGATACGGGAAGAAAACAGGAGAGGAGAAAAAAAAAAAAAGGGGGTATAATGGTCTTTTCATCTCTTTTGTCTACCCTAACGAGCTGTTTTGTCAAACGGGGTACTAAAACGGCTCCGGCTCCACCGGAAGAGCTGGAGTTGAAGCCAAATAAAACGGCTTCATTGGTGAAGCAAAGCTCTACCAAATAGGGCCGAAGACAACAGGCAAACATACCTGTGAATTTTTTCTTTAGCAAAATTAGTCGAACAGTTGGATTTTTGGTCATCATAAATATTTGTCGATTCATCTCAGATTGAAAGAGCTCATTAGCATCTGCCTTCTGCACATTAGTTAGGTCTTCCATGCTATCCACTACACAATGCACTTTTCTACAGAGCAGTCATCTTCTTTTTTCTTCTTCTCGTCTAGTTCTGAATACTAGAAAGTTATTCAGCACCAATGGGTAGTTGGCCCGACCAACCTAGATAATAGATGAAAAAGTCCAGGTATTTCTTTTAGTGGTGGTGTTCCTTCGATCGGCTCCGCTAAATGTTTCTTTTCATGGGGAAACTCTCAAACTCCCAAAATCCTCACGCCCCGCCTCCCAGTCCAGTGACCCTTCCCTCCTACGCCACGCCTCTGCTCTGGTGATCACCAAACCCCGCATCCGCTCCGGTGATCACCGCGCTCCCTCTGCTCCAGTGATCACCTCGTTGCATCCACTCTAGTCATCACCTCGCTCCACCTCCACAATCCGATGACCCTTCTGCTATGCATCGACGAAGCCCCACCGACACACCTGCATTCGCCCGCTCCCCTTCATCGCCTTCAGCTACACATCTACAAAGCCCCCTTCGCCCCCCTCCTGCACGTCGTCGCCTGGTGAGAAAAAGGTTTCTCGCCGGCTAGGGCATAGCTATTTATGGGTCCCCATGGCATTGTGCTTGATCATGTGTGTTTATTTGAATCACAAATAGTCATCTTTTGTCACTGCATTATCGTTTGTGGTCAAGGCACTAGGTGTGCGTTGATCATTTCCACAAATTTCAAGTCCTTATTACGATTCCTTTTATTGGGAAAAATTTCCAATGATTTAGATTATCTCATTACTAACCCTCTATGTACTTTAGTGTTTCTAATTCCTCACTAACTTTTGATGGATTGCTATCGCGGGGTCAAAACCGCGGCAATCATTGTTGTTCGTGGTAGTGTCAGAGTGCGTGTCTTCGGTGGCTCGGGTGGACTCAAGAACACAAGAATCACAGAGGAGACGCAACGGTTTATCCTGGTTCAGGCCGATCGGTGCCCTACGTTCAGCAGCTGATGATCCTTATACTCAAGAGCACCCAAAATCTAGGGGTTACAGCAGAGTGTAAGGGAGAAAGAGAGAGATTTGGTAGGGGATCGCTCGGTGCTGATCCTAAGGATGCCTCGCCACCGGTGGAGCCTTCCCCCTCGCCAGAGAGGAGAAAGACGATGGTGCGGTGGAGGAGCTCTCGGTGCCCCTCTCTGGGTTGCTCTGCCTCGATGCAGAGCTCGAATGGAACGGTGAGGACTCGAATGATCTGCGTGGAATCGACCTCCCCCTCTTAGGATCCAATCTCCCCCTTATATATCGAGGTAGGTCAGATACATGGCGTTTTGGGGAGTTGTGCTTATGGTCTACATGCATCGG